CGAATTTCTCACCTTCTTTTGTTTAATTAAGAACAAAAGAAGGTTTAGACAAAAGAAGGTGAGAAATTCGGGATAAAATCGCATGCGCAGTGGAATCGATTCTTAAACTATGAAAAGGCTTATTATATCTGCAAATGGTTAGACTTTCAAGTGRCTCGGATTACCACTTTAAATGGCGGTACCGTCTCTCCACACTTATCATTACTAACCAACAYTGGAGGGACGTAAAAGAACCACTGAGGACGTAAAGAAACCCTGGCAGTGACCACCCTCAGTGCCTACACTTCATACTAACCATCTCTCATGCTTGTAAATTGCATAAAAACAATTTGTCATTTACTTCTCAATGTAAAGCGCCTTTGATTATATTCATATAGAAAGGGCGCTATATAAATTCATATATYATTATCATTTGAGTATTTGAGTGTGATTGGTGGAAAAATTGAAAAAATGCTTCATAAAATACCTACATAAATATATTGCGTTTTGTGATTGGCTGGAAGGTTTAAAACCAGGTTGGCATATAGAGCCATTGGTTTATGATGTCGAAAGTTAACAAAGGTYGTTAAATATAATTTGATATAAACACTGTGGGAGTTGTTACAGCGCACTGAGGAAATCTGATTATCACGCAACTGCACCTCATTTCCCTCTTTACTGCTCATTTCGAGCTCTACAGCTTTGTCTGCATTCTCTATCTACATCTTTCATTAAATTTTTTTTGTATATAAGGGTCATCGAAACACCTGCTGAGGCAGCCCCCACAGCTCCAGGGGCCTTCTATCTTGCACCTCCCGAGGATGGCTCCAGACCTGGTACATTCTATGTGAACACTTACAAGTATGAAGAAAGGTAACGAAGTATGTTGGGGAACTGAAGAGGAAAAAAAGGAAGAAGAAGAATGAATGAGATTTCATCTTATTTGTAACTAAATATGTTRTCATGTGTTGTCATATGTTTGTTGGATTGAGTTACATTTTGATGGAACGTTTTTTGTTTCAAGGCCAAATTATGAGATGATCAGTTTATCTCTGCACGAAGCAGTTCCTGGTCATCACTTACAGGTAGATTTGTGATTCATCATCGTCACCATCATCATCATCATCACCATCATCACCATGATCATCATCATCACCATCATCATCGTCACCATCATCATCATCACCATCACCACCACCATGATCATGATCATGATCACCATCATCGTCATCATGTCTGTCATCTTGACAATCACTCTCATCGTCATCATTATGAGTATGGTGTCCGGCGTCGTATCAATGTCATGCTATAATCATCAGTGGTGTTATCATTATCATCACCATCGCCATCATCATCATCACCATTATTATTATCATTACCATCATCAGCAGCAGCAGCATCTCCATCATCAATCACCATAATCATCATCATCATAATCATCATCACCATCATCATCATGGCCACTACCACAAACCCCATCATCATTATCATCATCAACATCATCAGTCACCATTATCAGTTTCATGTCGTTCTAAGACAAGTTTTGGTGTGATTTCTGTTCAAGGCTGCGTATTCCATTGAGCAACCTGATCAACCAAGCTTCAGAAAGCACATGGAGGATCGAARATACTACGAGGCTCCAGCGAGATTTGCAATGAACACAGCCTACATGGAGGTGAGAAGGAGAGATATTAATTTAGTTATATGACGTCAAAGTGGTTTTACTAAAATAAATAAATAAATAAATCACTTTTATTTAAGTGTCTAGTCGTTCTAGCGCTTTCGCACTAATTGGGGACACTTTTCCCTCACACACACTACCACTACATTCAATATTCTATGCACACAACGYTCAACTCGGCACATGTTGATTTTTACATAAACTAACTGTTTATGCTCGTGGGTTTAGGGCTGGGGTTTGTACAGCGAATACCTTGGAGAGGAAATGGGACTCTACACCAACCTATATGACTTGTAAGTAATTATTAATTATTAAGATATATCCTTCTYCCCTCCTCCCTTTCTCTCTCCCTTCCTCTCTTTCTTCCTTGTTGCCTCTCTCCTTGTCTTATTCTCTATCTCCCTTCTCCCTTCCCTCCCTCCCTTCATTTTTCCCTCCCCTCCATGCTTTCTTCCTTCCTTCCTTCCTTCCTTCCTTCCTTCCTTCCTTCCTTCCTTCCTCCCTTCCTTCCTT